TTGAGGTAGTGTAAGTGTGAGTCACATTTTGCGGCAATGTCGTAGCAGATGTGTTCAGGTGATGACCTTATTCTTAAAACTTATGACAAGGTTAGTAATGCTCTTTGATCACATAGAGGGGGCTCATTGCATTCTACGCATAGACTTTGCTCAGATGATATTCTGTAAGCACCACTGGACAGACGGAGACCGAGGCTTGTGTATAGGGTCAGGACGGCGGAATGTATCTTTCGCAGCCGAGTCGTAGACTACGCATCCGTAGTCTAAAATGCTGCGTACAAGAGATCGGTAAATACATATAAGGCAGAGTTGATCGGAACCCCAGTGCTTATGGGAGAGTACTTTGAGCACGTTGAGTGCTCTGTTTGCCTTAGTTTTCAGTGCGTTTATGTGTGGCAGAAAGTTTAGTTTTCGGTCGGATGTGATTCCTAGAAATTTGTGTTCTTATTTTACCGGCATGTTGATGTTGTATAGTTTGAGCGTGGGTTCAGGGAACAATCCCCTCTTTTGCAGTAAAGAGAACAGCCGTGGTTTTTTGGGCTGAAAAGTGGAAACCATTTTGGTCGGCCCATTTCATAAGCCGATTCATTGTAATTTGGAGTTTCCTTTTGCAGGATGATAGGCTGGAGGCTCGGCATGCAATTTGGAGATCGTCAACATAAATGGAGTGCATGACTGTACAGGGTATAGCCCTGTTGATGGAGTTCATTTTCACTATAAACAGGGTGGTGCTCAAAACGCAGCCCTGTGGTACACCATTTTCTTGGACAAATATTCGTGATAGTACCGTACCCAAACGTACTTGAAAAGTTCTATTCGATAAAAAATCGTGTAAGGAGTTCAGCATTTTTCCGCGAATCCCTAAGTTAGCTAGATCTCCGAGAATTCCGTATCTCCAAGTTGTGTTATATGCTTTGTCTAAGTCAAAAAAGACGGAGAGACAGAACTGTTTGTGTAGAAATGCTTGTCGTATTTCTTGTTCCAGCCTAACAATGTGATCAGTGGTGGAACAGCCCTTTTTGTATCTGTACTGGTGTGCGTCTATTAGGTGCTCCTATTCCAGAGTGAAGGTAAGTCTAATATTTATAATGCTTTCGTAAGTTTTTGAAAGGCAACTTCTTAATGCAATGGGCCTGTAGCTACTTGGGGTTGTTGGGGGTTTACCAGGTTTTAGGAATGGTATAACTATGGCTTTTTTCCAATCTTCAGGCATTATGCCAGAGTCCCATATGTTGTTGAAGAATTGCAGAAGTGCCTTCGCGGATGCTTGGGATAGGTGTGCCAACATTGCGTAGTGTATCTGGTCAGACCCTGTTGCCATTTTTTTACCGGCAGAAAGTACCCTGTTTAATTCGTGCAGCGTAAGCGGAAGGTTATAACTTTTATTTGAGGTACTGGTAGTAGGCAATCTTTGTCTTTCTGCATTTTCTTTATATTTCAGGAACGTATTGGTGTAATTTGCTGAGCATGATACCTTATAAAAGTGTTCTCCTAATAGGTTGGCCTGGTCTTCTAGTGTTGATTGTGTGTCTGGACTTGTAAGCAGTGGTATTGTGTAGAAAGAGTACTCTCCCTTGAACTTCCTCACCTGGTCCCAGATGTGTTTAGATGTGACTGAACTGTTAATTGATGATATGTATTTTTGCCATGAATCCTTTTCTGTCTGTCTTCAAATAAATCGAGCTCTGGCTTTTGCCTGTTTGAAGTTGATGAGGTTGGTGTAGGTGGTGTAAGGCCTGGGGAAATAATTCCCCAGGCCTTATTTTGTTGTTTTTTGGCATCAGTACACTCGTTTGTCCACCAAGGGTTGAGTTTCTTGCGTACGACGCCGGATGATTGAGGTATTGCCTTTTCTGCTGCTAAGATTAAAACTTTGACGAACTCTTCGTTTAGTTCCTCAACAGAAAGCTCTGATGAGAAAACTTCATCGAGCTTAGCGTTTTCTGTGAAAACTGGCCAGTTCGCGAGCTGAAGTTTCCACCGGCGTGGCCTGCTTGTTAAAGTTGGGTAGGATGGTATGAGTTTTATGATGCCGGGTTGATGATCACTACCATAAGACGTGTTGACGACGTCCCATTTAAAATCGTTAAAAATACACGGTGAACACATGGCAAGATCTAAGCAACTAAATGTGCGTGAGGTTGGTGAAAAGTAGGTAAAAGCCCCGGAATTAAGAAGGCAGATGTCATTTGATAAAATGAAATCTTCCACGGCTTGCCCTATTGCATCAGTTTTGTCGCTACCCCAAAGAGTTGAATGAACATTGAAATCCCCAACTAAAATAAATGGTTTTGGCAACTGTTCCACTAGACTTTCTAGGTTTTTAGTGGTGAAAAGGGTGTGAGGTGGGATATACAGTGAGCAGATCGTGATGCTTTTGTATGATAGTATTGTAATGATGATTGTAGTGGGTCATGCAAATCTCGGCACACACATTGTCAGTGCTAAGCACCAGACGCTCGGCCCGGACTGTCGCTGATTTTGCTAGCTAGGCCTACGCTCCTACCTGATAACAGTTTTGACTGTCTCCGTTCTATATTATAGTATGGTGATGGCTACGGCCTCGAAAGATGTGTTTATTTGGACGTCTCGCGTAGGAGTGCTGCCCTGCACGACTACGGCTACTCCTCCTGAAAGACAGTTGCATTGTTTGCGGTCCTTTCAAGCAACTTTGAAGCCTTTCAGAAAATGGCCGTGTTTTGCACCAAGATTTGTCTCTTGGAGGCAAAAGGCTACTGGTGAGAATTTATTAGTGATGTCCTTTATTTCACCTAAGTTATGAATTAAGCCTTTACAGTTCCAATGTACGATAAAAGCCATGGCGGAATAAAGTTAGGTAAATATACTTCAGGGGATTGATCGGTATGAGTAAAAGATGATAGGTGACAATACTAAGAAATAGAAATAGAGAGAAATACGATAACCATTATGGTTATCGCTTTCTTATTGTGGTTACTGGGACTTTGTCCTTGTCCTGTTTGGCACGCTAGCACTTGTCCTTCGGTGTCGATGACACCGGAGTTTTGTGGTCGATCTCCATTGCCTTGTCTGAGGCGCTGGCAGATCGAGAGTGAGGCGCTGAGAAACGGATCTCAGGCCTTGGCACTCGATTGAGTTTAGGGCCAAGGGAGACCGGAGTCTGCGGGACCCTTTGATGTGCATGGAGCAGCTGGTGCTGCTTCTTTTAAGGGGGCGGTTCGAGTCACCACAGGACCACTGGGTGTGGTAGCGGTCGACTCCTGAAGCCTTTGTGACGCTGCCCCTGACTACCTCACATCGGCGTAACTTCTGTGGAAAAGGAATGATAGCCGTTTTGGTGCTTCGCTGAATGAATTTTTCTTGACGGTCAGAGCGATCACTTCTTTTTCCTTTTACAACATGGGCATGACCGGGAATACGCTGAGTGTTCCCCCTCACAGTTAACACAGAGGGGTGAGAATGAGCTGTTTTCTGATTTGTGGTCGTTTCCGCTGCATTTTGCGCATGTTTCTTTGCCTCTGCATGAGTGCGAGGCGTGTCCGAATCTTTGGCATTTGAAACAGCGTCTGGGGTTGGGAATGTAGGGTCTGACATTTATTTTTATGTAGCCAGCCTTAAGAGAGGTGGGCATTTCACTTGTTCCAAAGGTTAGTAATACGTGTTTCGTGGGCGCTTCCTGATTATTGCGACGGATTGCTATTCTTTGGACTTTTATGACATTTTGGTCTTGGAATCCTTCGAGGAGCTCTTCGTCACTAAGGCCTAAGAAGTCTTCCTCAGAGATTACTCCCCTGCTGGTGTTTAGAGAGCAATGGACCAAAACGGTGACAGCTGTTTCTCCAATGCTGGTTAGTTAGGATAGCTAAGGCACTTGGTCTTTTTTCGGTTAGCTTCAAAAGGAGGTCACCGCTTGACGTTTTGTATGCTTTGTATGTGGGTCCTATTTTTTCTTTTAGGCACTTGGCCACCAAAAATGGGCATAGTTTTTTAGAGGTGTGCTGTCACTGTGGATAATGTGGTACTTCGAGAAAGTAGCTTTTGTTTCTGTCGAGAAGTGATAACTTGCTTCGGGGCGGCCTCTCTTACGAGGCCGATCAAAGTCGGCGGATGCTTGTGAAGCCATAGAAGTATGAATGTGTTCGGTAACAGCGGCGACCACCCACCGCGGAGCCCAACAAGGGGACGCGGTTGGACTTGTTGAACAAGACCTCCCGACACCAGCCGTACGCTGTCACTATAACCCAATGTAATTATCCAAGGTGGGATACCTACACAAGGTTCACCCTTGCCACCATGAATATCGGAAGTCAACAGAAGTGAGGAGAGAACAGAAAAAATAAAGGTGTGAGAAAAAGACGAAGATGTGGGAGGAGAGAGACAGAAAAAGGCGACTGCCGATTTCCCCAGGATGGGTCTGCCCAGGGGTGCCGTCTACGTGAAGCCGGGGCTAAAGGGGTGTGTTGCCTCTGCCGGGGAGCCTTAAAGGTCCAATCACCCAGCGTCGGCTCAACCCCCAGGATCCCCTTTTCCCCGGACACGGCAAAGCCACGCACAGCTAGGCATGGGAGGGAGTCAAAACTCCCCCGTTAGCTCGGGTCCGTGGTGTCGCTACACACCAAACGCCTACTTGTGCAGGCGCCCCTGCAGGGAAATATGCAATTATAGTTTAGTGTTTAAATTAACATACCTATATTTCTGTCGAAAAATGAAAACGTGCGGACCCATTTTGCATTAAGCAGTATTGATATGGTCAATAACTTTCACATTTCTACAGTCTGTTTAGTTGTCTAGGTCAATAACAGATGGGGAAGGTTTCATTGAATACCCGTGAAGATGGTGTTGAACTGAACAAAAAAAAGCAGCTCGGGTGAGATGCACCTTCATATCAGATTAGCCAAGCTAACTCAAGTTATGATGGGTTATTATGAGCTGAATACATCAAACGTGATACGCTATGTTAGTATACCATATTATTAGTTATGAGTAAGAAGTATCAAATTGCAAAAGCAAACTTCACTTACAGGAGGTGGTGAAGTTGGAGGGCTGCTCTGCTCTACCTTGATGTCAACGCTCGTTGCACCCTAAAAGGACATTTTTTGTTTTATTCGTGGGCGAAGTCTAGAAATAACACCACACTTTCAATCACACACACTTAAATAACGAATTTTCTCATGCAGTGTTTATACCCAACATGTAGCCACTGCATTTACATCAACAATACACACGTGCAGAGTACTCTACTCACAGAGAAACCCGTGCCAGTTAGTATCCTGCTTTTTCGAACAGGGTAGACAGCACACAAAACACACAATCACTAACCTAACCCCCCCTTTTTTGCTGAAAGGTACAGCATTCCTGTTGAACGTACGTCACTTTTTTCTTAGTCTGCTCTCTACCTTGACTGTTTTTTGGGTGTGCATAATAGTGCTGAGCATCACAGCATAAGAAGTTGCAATGTAGAAGTGGCAGCCTCTTTTTTTTTTTTTCTCTCCAGCTAGCTGTGATGTGTTCGTTCTGCATACTTATCAATTAGTCCCACAGCAGGCTTCACTGAAGCTTCTTCACAGAAACTTCTTCACAAAAACTCCTTGTACAGCATCGAACAAATTTGAGCATATGTAATAAAAACTGTTTACAGGCTTCATACTACCAAGGAAAGATTCTTTATGCAAGCAGCACCGACGATCATTGTTAAAGCACACAAATCGCCCAGTTGACTGCATATCACACCAATCACTAGAGAGAAGATTATAAGCAAATGCCTATTTCGTTTCTTACGTTCCTATCGTGCCACTTTCATATATGAGTGTGAATTAGAGGTTAAGAAGAGCTTTTACAGTGTTTTTATAGTGCCTATAAATGCCTATTTTACAGGTTTGTGCCTCGATTTCTATAGGTTCCTACAAATGCTTATTTTCAAAATCGGTGTCTATATGAACTCTATTTAAACCCAAATTTTGCTTTCAAGTACAGTTGAAGACCGATATTCATGTCACCAGGCAAAATTGAGCTTTCGGAACTTTATGGTGTTCAACTTATACTCTATCTCATAAGTTCCTTTTAGCACTGTTATGGGTATAAGGCCTCTTAGCCAATAGGAAGGCTAATTACTCTCTACACATGTATTTATCTGCATCACGTCATCTGTTCCGTGTCTCCCTGACGTCTGTGCGCATGCGTAGGGAACAGGAGGTGCTTCTGTTCAGCCGAGAGACGAGGAAGAACAAATGCGAAACCATGGAGTGTCATCAGGGGAAAGTAAAGTGTTGATAAAACAAAAGATGTCTACATGGTTTTTGTTTTGTTTGTCATTTACTTCTTAAATGGCACTTCACTAAGTCAAATGAGGAATTTTACTGAAACACTTGGAGTTATTGCATGCCCAATGAAAAGCTTTGTACCATAAGAATTTTTTAATTGGTTCACCACAAGCCGCAAAAGCATGGTGCAAAGAGGTGAGCTAAAACCTTTGCCACTCGCCTGGTCTAGACTTTGCAAGCCAAGTTCCTTTCCTGCCCTCTTCAATATCGGAGCAACTCGGAGTCTGAAGATCACACGACACAGACGCATTAACATGTCATACGCACACAAAGTTGCATTCGCATGACATACGTATGCCAGGTCATATACGCAAGCGGTGTTGTGTTGTTTCAACGTTCTTTGTACTGTACCACCCGTTTCTATGGGATGGATCCCTCCATGCACGCACATTTAGAGAGGCTGGCATGAATCATGTATCCTTACCATAATACCAAGCGTCGCACCGCTGGAACTGCTCCAAGGGACGATGCAACAAAAACTGGTCAAGCATTGTGATTGCTAGCACCGGCATGATGTGAGAACGACGAGAACACCAACCCAAACAAAATGTAGGCAGCTTAGTCTCGCAACTCGCTCTATACGATGTTACTCAATACGAAGTTTCTTGGAGACCAGAAGTTTGTTGGAAGGATGTATAATTTAAGATCGCCAAGTTGTGATCTCCTACATTAAAGCGCTACGCCACTGCTTCCGGTGATTTCTCCGCCATGTCTACGCAGTGCCCGTTTATTCTAGCATTGACAAGCTGTTTTGCCAATTTAGCGTTTGTGGCAACATAAGCATTAGATTAAGTAGACATCTGGACTAGTGCAGGTAAAGCTGGATTTCGTATGATGCACATAATTCCTTCCGGAGCTTTTACCTCTAACATTATCTTTGTGGTGTTCGGAAGCCTTTGTGGTGTTCGGAAGCCTTGTGGTGTTCGGAAGTGTAGTACGTGCCTCACGCCGCTGCTTGTAGGGGGGCCTTGTGACCCTGACCCTCCTTAACCTTTCGTTCAGCGTGCGCAACACCGGCACATGAGTTTGGGCACGCTTCTTCACTCACCGCACGTTGAAAAACAAATTGCCTAATCGTTGAAGATGCACAAATGGTTTATGGCATTCCTCATACACGATGATGTTGGGCTTGGACCTACACTCAAACCTCGTTATAACGAAGTTGAAGGGGAGCCACGAATATTTTTTTATATCGATTATAACAGTATGTGGCAATGTATGTTCAGATAGGCGCTCACCTATAAGCATGCAAAGAAGGAAACCACCTCGCGGCCCAAAGTACCGCTATGCGACCAAGCGTATGAAAGAAAATAAACACAGTCGAACCTCGTTAATTCGAACACGCTTAATTCGAACTTACGGTTAATTCAAACTCACGCTCGGGTCCCATCAAAGCTATGTGTATACCAATGGGTGAAAACACCTTGTAATTCGAACGCACCACACTTGCGACAGTTCGAACATACAGCACTCTGAAAATGCTATCAGCACCATGCCTAATCCCGCAGCGGCATCTCTCAACGCTGCACACGAAGAAGGAATAAAAGAAAAGGTACAAAAAGACTGTGGCGGATTGTTTGCTCTCTCTCAAATGCCAATCTGCAACGCGCCTGTGCCACACTTCTCCCTTTTCCGTCTCTGCAAGTAGAGACCCTTCTCTTTTCAAGGCCGCGCACGTAGAGAGTGGAAAAATGAAAAGAAAGCTGTCGCGGAGAGTCCTTCTTTTCTCAATGCAGAGGGTAGCAGCGGAGACACGGTCGTTGCCATCGTCTTTAAGGCGCGGAGAAGGGAAATAACTTTCCACCGCGGCGCCACTTCTCGGTCATGTGACGCACTGAACGCTTTCTCAATCCTCTTTGCTGGCTATGCGAGGAGGGCGGCTCTCTCAGTCGCACGTGGCGTGGCTGTAAGGTTAGGGCAATAGTTTTGAAAGAGCCGTGCCGAACGAGCATCAAACTCCCCAGAAAACGATATACTTAACACAATAGGATCGGTTTGCTTTTATAGACTATATTTGATAGACTAATTTAATTCGTTATATTCATTTACCGGTCAATTTTACTTCGTTAGAACGAGGTTTAAAATGCATGGTCCTCAATAGAGCTTTCAAGAAAAATATCATTTACTTTGTTATATCCATTATTTCGTTATATCCTATTATGCTATAATGAGGTTTCAGTGTATATAACTCTGAACAGTGCACTTTGTTGTCAATGTCAGACGCCCCAAAGTGGGAGTACGATCGTAGCCTCTTGGGGACAGAAAGCGCCATATCACACACTCCTTAACAACTTTGTCTGGATACGCTGAATGCTTTTTCCTTCACATTATATTTGATGCAAAAAAAACATGGCCCTTTTCTCTCCTTTCTGTGCATTTGTTCCAATTTTCTTAACACATGCATGCTGCTTGTTTTCATGATATATTCGGATGCCTTTTGCCCTTTTTTCAGTTTTGCTGCACCTTCTCACATTTTGAACGTTGGTACGACACTTGAGAACGCGGCCTTCCTATTATAGTATAGATCCGTGAAATGAGCATCACTGTTCATTGTTTGCATGCAAACAATTACTGCTTTTTGTTTAGTGAAAGCATCTTGTGAAGTCACAACATCCAGATCTGGTTCGTTGGTCTCCACTTTTCGCTTCCTTGATGTTTGATGTAGGGGCAAAGCTTATAAAGCAGGATCGTTGCGAGGCTTCTAAGCAGTTGAAATCAAAAAGGAAGGATAGTCCACAAAAAAAAGTAGGCCTGAAGTCAGGAATAAGTTATATTATGCGACACGCAGGCAGATAGTCTTCATCGCGGAAATGTCTGCTGTATACAACATTCGATGCAGACTTGTTGTTGATGATGAAGTTGTCTTTGGGAATATTCTTATGTTATTTAGCCCACAGCTCAGTGTTTTATGGGAATTGCTAAAAAGAAACACAGGGTGTATTTCCCGAATGGTACTTACAGAACACAACTGTGTGATTGTAACATCACACAGCTAATATATATATATGTACACACTGCACGTACTAAAGGTTGTACGACCGCCTTCTCGAGTTGAGAAATCACTGCAGACAGAACACTGAGAAAGCAACGAACAAAATGCAGCCGTGGTGGGCAAATCTCAGAATAAAGCAAGCCACACTAGAGAGAAAGAGAAATTGATAACAATCTTCTTATAGCACTAAGCCACAAGATAATTCATACAGATTTCTTTTAAAAAAGCTGCTTACTTGCCGAAGGGAAAGTTTGAATGTTGTCAGTTTCTCTTTCTAAACATATTCTTCCATCAACTCGAAGGAAAACGCAGAACTGATTTGCACTACAGAGTTTTTGTCCCGGGGCAAGTGGCTGCAAGCGTAAGCAGCTGCATTCTTCGTATTCTTCATAGACATGCCTTGCAGTACAAAGAAATGCAAAAGAGCTTGGGGTCCCCGGAATTATTTTTCCAGGTGGTGTTAGCACCTTGACAATGCACACCACCACTCTCAGGGCATACCGTCCGAACGAGTTATTCAGCAGCAAGAGTCCTCACTTCTTTTTTTTTTACTTTCTTTCTCCGTAGACGCAGTTATTTTTATCCACACACGAATGTGTTCCAAACAGCTGTCTAGCTGCAGACCAGCAGCATTTGGCCTTAAAGACCACTTCTATTGCATTCGTAAAAATAAATAGAAAATTGCTAGCAAAGGGAAGTCCGTGCTCGTCAATTATGTAAGCAACCTCTCTTCATTGCGACCTTGTTGTCTAATGAGACCAAAGGTATT